CATGAATTTTTTTTGGTTTTTCCCCCCCCGCCCCCCCCCCCCATCACTTTTCTAATGGTCCGTCCCTAAGTTTTATCGATCTTTATTTCCATTTTCTAGCAAATTTCAAGACCTAAACTTCGCCCATATGTTCTCTATATTTACTCATATTATATGAAACCCGTACGTGACACAAATAGTGAGCCTGGGTTACCTGTGGCGAAACGTCCTCAGCGGTGAAGAGCGAGTAGAAAGGGCTGTTTTCGCGGCAGGCTAAAATCGAGGAAACTACCAACAGTTTCATGTTTTGTAACACAAAGCGCGTTTCGGCAGAATGATTAACCTGCGTAGCAAGCGTTTCCGTGCGGTTTCGGAGCAAAGAACGATTAACGAGAGTCCATGTCCGCGTGAAAAATGGCGCGAGTAAAAGAGCGGGGAGGGGCGGGGAAGAAAGGTAAGGAAACGCTTGCAGGACAAACCCCAGGAGTTTGAAAACTGCCCACGTGGCCCCGGAGTATTTTAGAATTTTTTGGCGAAAAAAGTCGTGGCCCTCCCACTTCCGGGAATGGATTAATGCATCACCTTTCAGAAATACCCAAACAAAAGCATTTGACCCTGCCCCTACCTATCCAAGACAAAAATAACCGGAAGTGAAAATAACAAACTGGAAGTGTTACTCATATAACCGCCTTCATCTGCGCTCAAAGTAGTTAATTGGGTGGTGTGTGATTGTATGGTGAAAACTTGAAATGGGCAAGGATGTATGAGGAATAGAAAGAGGGAAATGTGCTTGTGGTGAATGCGAGGATTTCATGAGGTCAGATGAAGCAACTTGTGGCTATTGTGGCTGTTTGCCGTCTCGCCATTCTAAAAAGGATGCCCGCTACTCCTCTGACTCTATTGCGGGAACAAAGCGCAAGTCCAGAGAAGTGGAAAGATGAAGACCTAGGGTGTAGTGGTTCCCGAAGTTGTCTGTTCAAGCCCGAGTAGCTTAAGTGAAGAATCCTCACCGGAGACTGATTTTATACCAGAACCCCTCGCGGAAACATCAAAGTATGGGCAAAAGCGGACACGGGTCGAGAGATACAATTATGTTAGTTGGGAGAAGATAGTTTTTTGACATATAAATTTTGCGAAACCTGTAAATAATTTAGATTAATCTTGACTGGTAGCTTTGCTTGTATATACAAAATTAAATAGAAGCGACATGGAGTAATTTTTTCCTTGCCAAAAAAACTGTGACCTTCCCCCGGTTTAGAATAAAAGAGGTTTAACCCTCCCCAATTTTTAAAAAAATTACTAAGGACCCTTCCCTCCGAAGCCCCGGCCCACCTCCCCTCCCCCCCGCCAATAAAAAACCTACCTTTCCTCACCAAGAGAGCATAATGCAGCCTCGTACCCAGGCCTGTTCGCGCTATCCGAGTGACCAGAGGAGGCTTGGAACCGAGCGCGATAGCGCGAGGCGAATTTTCCCGTCAAGCTTAACAGGTGACGTCACATCCGAAATCGCCGAGGACGACTGGGAACGAGGCTGAGCATAATGGTGACCTCTCTTGGTCTTACCATGTATCTTTCATATGAAACAATATAAAACATGGCTACGATCTTTCGCAACATATGAAACATATACAGCACTGAACTACTTGCCTGTTTGTTGAGTGCCCCCTCTGTTCCTCTGATAAGCTTCAAAGATGCAGCCGCATAGGAGGAAGCCTCCAAGCAGACCTCCACAGATTTCAAGGGTGAGTACAAAATATGGACTCCCTGGCTCAAAAAACACCAAACCAGTTTCCTCCTCTTCTTCTTCCTAAAACATTAGGATAATATAATATAATCCTGTCGTTACTCCCGGGTTGTTATTAAGTACTATTAAGCGTTTTATTCAACACTGAACGCTAAATTAGGCTAATCTTTGGCAAAACCCGTACTCAGTGGCGCTGCGTTGGTTTCGTGGAAGCTTGCCCAGAAAATTGCCTGACTGATTGAAAAGTAATACATACTGCAAAATTACTAGTACTTACCGCACATAATGAAGACCAGTTCCTAACTAGTTGTAGCTTTCGCTAAGTGCCAACGAAAGAAAAAGAATTTGCCTACATCACCGGTTTTAGTTCCAATGTTTATAAAACCATTTTAGCCGCTGAGCCGAGAATTTCCACTACAAGCACTCCTCGTTCCTACATTTCTGCCATGCTCTTAGCCTTAAAATCGCTCTACTTATTCTTCTGCTTAGACAATTTTGTTGAGTTTCAAACAGCGAAAGGGAAATAACATTTGTTGATTCACGCGAACTTGAAATTGCGAGTTGTAGTTCGTACAAGTACAGTAGTGTGGCAGAGAACATTGTCCGAACTTTGAAGGTTCGTTTGTTTACAACAAGGTTCATCAAAAGTCACGTGAAACTACACGCGAAATCTAATGCCACTAAAATCCCCAGGGAATCTATACCTTGCAGCACGATCGATAATTTTTCAGGCCCGGCCAGGGGTTTGGGTATACGGTATCCTGGGCCATTTTAATTCAGGTATGTGGTATTGGCAATTACCTGCTGATGATTTTCTTCATCATCGGTAAGAAATTTTGTTTGGACATTTCTATCGCGTATCATTTCCTGAAAGTCTTTGGCTAACGTTTCTGATATTCCACCAAGAGCAATACCGTGCGAGATTCCTTTGTCTACTATTTCGGAGATTTCAAACCATGAGCCATTGAAAAGGTCTTTCCTTCTTACTGGTGTATACATATCTATTAAAATGGCATCTGTCGATTCCTCTTTTAATGCATCAACAAGCTCTTTTAGGGTTCCAAATTCTCCACCTGTCCAATAAATGAGAACTCCCATTAAATGTGGCACCCACTGGACGCTATTCGGGCAATATTGTTAGTTCACTTTCTATTCTTTTAAATAAATATATTTGTATTATTTCAAAAGATGTATGTACATGTACCGACCTTTACCCTGGGTTACAGAGGTTATTTTTTTGCGGCAAAGTTTTATCAAACCGTTAGCACGGTTTATTTTATCCTAGGTATTTTGAAAACGGACCTCTGGAGCCTGGGTGGTATACCTGATAAATTTAATGCTAATAAAATATATTGGAATCTATCCATTAATATATGTTTATAACTATGCAACTTAAAGGGCAATGTCAAAAACATGGGTGATTGCGTAACATATTTATGCCCACTGGAATAGACCTTTTTACCGATACGGCGGCCATATTGAATAAATTCGATTTAAGGAGTATTATAGCATGCCCAAGGGGTATGAGCACATTTCGTTTGTATTTTCGAGCGCTTTTCGGGACATTTTTTCTTAAAGTTTTCTAAGAATAAGATTGTAATGGGAAAAAAGATCCTAGTGCCGTGTTTTTACGTCTATTATTGTAACAAGTCTGACTTTTGGCCGACGTGTCGTGGGTCGAGGGTACTTTGTCGAGAGTCGACTTTTTGTATTTTAATTTTGTTTTTCGCGTTCAGTTTGCACAAAAGTTTAGTTTTTATTAGCGCTGATTCAGAGTGTTGACAGATGTGTTGTAATAACAGTGTACTTCCAAAAGTTGAATGATTTTTTCTCCTCCCCCAACTTGGTCCACCCCTAATCACGATATTACCAATGTTTATTAAGGACATGTATACTCTAAACACCAACAATAAATCCCTTGAAATCCGAAACGTGTCAACAGTTAAATTGATAATTTCTCTGAACAGCGGACGTGACGTCCAAGATCGCAGAAATAACTCATGGACCAATCATTGCCAGGTTGCTGTTTTATTAACAAAATGTGCCTTGTTTTCGTAAAAAAATTGCATCACTGCAAGAACCTGTGTTTCGAAATGCGCTGCCTCGTGGTCTCCTAGTATCGTCATAAACTGTTTGGCTTTTTTCTTTGTCATGATTCGTCAAAAACAAAAAATAAAATAAAATAAATATTTTTTTTTCATGCTTTCCGCGTAAGGCTAGGGTTTCGTGTTAATTTTCCTGTGATTAGAAGTGGGAGAGGGGGTGGCAATGTCCCCAAAAATGCATACAAGGCGATGGATTGGTAGAATATATTTTGCGCAACTTTCTTGACCGAAAATGAAGAGTCTTGCAAGTAAGAATTATCTTAGTGCAATGACCGCTCCCCCTAACACCATTTACACACACCCGTTTTCCAATGGTAATTTTCACGCAACCTGTTTGAAGCATAAGTAACTCGACCAAAAGTTGGACTCCTTTTCTGAGTCAGCACTATTTAAAACTGACTGAATCGGAATTCGGAATGTAGATAACGGGTCGCTCAATAAGCTAGGGGTAAGACAAACTTAAAGCAAGGGGCACAAATACATCAACCCACGGCCTGGTCAGTACCTTACGCATGCACACAGCCATATTACCGGGAGAGTGAAAGCCATGGACAGCTGTCTCACACTCATTAGGGCTTATCAGCATGAAATGGCAGTCAGATCCCTGCTGTAAGGTTTGTTCACGGGTCCGTGACTGTATATGGCTGACACTCCTAGGGGAATTGCCAGTCAGATATGTCTGTATGCATGTGTAAAGGTACTGGCGTCACTGGCTTGGTTTCTTGTTTCAACTCGAAATACACAGGGCTTTGATTTGCAAAGGTTCTGCCACATGGCCTATGCACTGGTAAAAAGTTTTGGAAATTTCACGGTGTATAACGCAATCGTCTTTATGGGTACGCCAATTTGTACTTTTTTAAAAAAGAAGCAAACTGGTTTCGCCATTAAAACGATTAAAGGTGCGAACAAAATGCATTCTCGAACAGTTATAATGACTTCTTAAGGTGACTCGACCCAGTTTTTTTTGGGGGGTACCATCCTACTTTGAAGCTCTCTGGTATCCCCACCTTTACTTTTATCGTAAGTCTAACACATAGAATGGGTAACATATAGATCAATCTACAATATAACATAAAATTTTTGGCGATCGGAGTAAATGTCACGTGGTTATAATGCCACGCCCCTTTGAGGTCTGAGTCGAAAATCTGCTGTTGCCGGCATTTTTTGGTGAAAATCTCACGCGTGCAATGACCGCGCTTGGCTGACTTCCGAATATGATAATTTTGGTACAGTGACACAGGCCATCGCGTGATACATAGAGGTTTCACTCACAATTTTTAATCAATTCTCGTGCTTCTTATGCCTTCGCAAAAAAATCAAGAAGTGCTACACACTAAATCTACTTAATATTAAAAAAATATCATTTTTTCATAGGTTTAATGCAAGCCAATAATTAAACCAACTCGTGACGGGAATCCCTTCTATTTTCTTATACTAAATTATCATATCTCGGTGAGCATTCGGAAGTCATCCAAGCGTGGTCATTGCACGCGTGCTGAACAAGAATGCTGTATAATGACAGACTAGAAACAATAGACAACTCCCAAAGCACAAACTCAGCCAAAACGCTAAAAATCTTCAATGTTTACTCAAGTTTGGGCTTATAGAAGATAATGTCAAAGTTTTTCAATGACCATGAAATTCAGAGTCCGGGTTGTTAGTTAATCAATTGTGGCCCTGAAAAAATTTGAAGGAAAAAAAACTACGAATTTTTAAGAAAATGCTTTTTTCGTGAGATTGACTCTTAAACGCTGACAAACGTCAACAAATAGCGAAAACTATAATTTCTATATGTTTGCTTTGCTCGAAATCGCGCGCATTTACAAGGCCCTAAAGCGTTTTGCTGACTTGCAAGGACCCATCTGTTATAACGATGCCCATAATACAGAGATGAATCTCATAGTTTATTAGATATAATCCGTGTAAAGTTTGCTTATCATTTTCGCATAAATTATGACCTAATTTTGGAAACCGCTGAATTTCTCGAATTGGGTCTTTGCGATTTTGGTGAAACTCTGTTCAGCGCAAGGCACTAATGCGCACTATGTGTGGCCGAGAGATTTTCAGGAAAAAATGCTGGCAACAGCAGATTTTCGACTCAGACCTTAAAAGGGCGTGGCATTATAACCACGTGACATTTACTCCGAGCGCCAAAAATTTTATGTTATATTGTAGATTGATCTATATGTTATCCATTCTATGTGTTATACTTACGATAAAAGTAAAGGTGGGGATACCAGAGAGCTTCAAAGTAGGATGGTACCCCCCCAAAAAAAACTGGGTCGAGTCACCTTAAATTAAAGAAAGGCACTTACTAAGCTGAAATTTGTTCATCAGCTGTCTTACTGCCACTTGCTTTTCAGCGGAATCATTTAGTGTGGCAATCTGTATATGTATTAATACAAAAAACTTTAATTAATAGCCTGTTCTAGACCTTATAAAAGTAGTTTAACTGAGCAAAAGGAAACGTAAATACAACAAACGTGTGGGTACTAGGGAGACACTGAGCCCGCGTTTTAGCGCAGACCCTACTAACTGAGAGCCTAGAAAAGGCTACAGGGTAAAAGAAAATTAAGCCATGCAATTTCGAAAGGTCTACGCTAAAATAGCTTATTAATAAGAATTCGAGTTCATGAACTCTTCCTGAGATGTGTTGACTTACTTTTATGACTTTACTTGTGCCTGAGCCCTGTGTTCCTCCAGCCTTAACAACCACAGTCAAATCTGATGCCAAACCAGCGGAAAAGAGACCAAACACGACAAGGCCAACTAAAAACCATATTATGGCGAAGACCTTGGCCTTATTGGATTTTGGCGTTCGGTCTCCATACCTGCAACAAGATCGAAAAAGGTTACCCTAGTCACATTTTTCTCATAGAGCGGATTTTCAAGATTTTGCTTAATTTAGTACTACCTACGTGTACTGCGGAATTGAAAGCTGGATTACCGGCTTTTGAAAGAGAATACTAGTAAAGGCATTGTAAAAACGAAGGCAGGTCCTGGTGAATAGTTTGGTTGGATACCTTCTCTGATATTAGATGGCTTAGTTTTTGATAGGATGTAGACTTTGATCTTATTCGTGTTGTTTTTGTGGCTTTTCTGGTGTAAACAAAACATTATACGAGTAGCTAACATCAACACCTCATGCAGTAAAGCCTGTTACTTACCCTAGCGTTGTCATGGTGATAAATGCCCACCAAAACCCCTCTCCGGCACCTTTATAAAATATCGGAGGAAATTCCTCTGGATTGGTGGTTACATCCTTCATAGAAAAATTTTTACTGTTAGACAATATCACCAAATTTTATTGCTGTTATTTGGATATGCAATTTCTTGGCCTACAGTTAACCAAAAGGCTAGCCCTGGCAGGCCACAATATGTAATTGAAAGAAAACAATTTACAAGATAGAGATACTGGGCAAGCCCACTTGTTCAGAGTTAGGCACCCCAAGATTTTTTTCGTTTTAGTGGTAAAGATAGGCGTGTATTTCATCAATGACGAGACATATCTGTTCTTTCTGTCCTTATGAAACAGTGGTACTGGTTCAGTACTAACAATAACCTTCTGATTAATAATGGATTTCTTTGACCAGATATCTGATGCACTAATCAGTTCTGAATGCTTCTTTCAGCTCCCTCCTTCTTCATCGAAATCGGTTGAAGCTTGTTATTTTATTTCTCAAGCTTTATCATATTTTGGCTACACCATTTGGCTACACCATTTGTTGAATGAGCACTTCATCTAAATTCGATTTCTTTTTAATTCATTTTCATTTCTCATTTCCTGATCAAATTTATTTTGATGATAAACATACAGAACTCACGTTAGCTTCATTTAATACTCACGTAATACACAAAATTGTTTTATTTTGTATTTAATTTAAGGAGTCAGTAGAAGTTGTAAAGTTATTCTTACCAAAACCCAAATCACCAAACCAGCCAAGATGGTCATGACTCCAGAAATTGCAAATACTGGCCACGAACTGAACACTGATATCTATTAAAATGGCATCTGTCGATTCCTCTTTTAATGCATCAACAAGCTCTTTTAGGGTTCCAAATTCTCCACCTGTCCAATAAATGAGAACTCCCATTAAATGTGGCACCCACTGGACGCTATTCGGGCAATATTGTTAGTTCACTTTCTATTCTTTTAAATAAATATATTTGTATTATTTCAAAAGATGTATGTACATGTACCGACCTTTACCCTGGGTTACAGAGGTTATTTTTTTGCGGCAAAGTTTTATCAAACCGTTAGCACGGTTTATTTTATCCTAGGTATTTTGAAAACGGACCTCTGGAGCCTGGGTGGTATACCTGATAAATTTAATGCTAATAAAATATATTGGAATCTATCCATTAATATATGTTTATAACTATGCAACTTAAAGGGCAATGTCAAAAACATGGGTGATTGCGTAACATATTTATGCCCACTGGAATAGACCTTTTTACCGATACGGCGGCCATATTGAATAAATTCGATTTAAGGAGTATTATAGCATGCCCAAGGGGTATGAGCACATTTCGTTTGTATTTTCGAGCGCTTTTCGGGACATTTTTTCTTAAAGTTTTCTAAGAATAAGATTGTAATGGGAAAAAAGATCCTAGTGCCGTGTTTTTACGTCTATTATTGTAACAAGTCTGACTTTTGGCCGACGTGTCGTGGGTCGAGGGTACTTTGTCGAGAGTCGACTTTTTGTATTTTAATTTTGTTTTTCGCGTTCAGTTTGCACAAAAGTTTAGTTTTTATTAGCGCTGATTCAGAGTGTTGACAGATGTGTTGTAATAACAGTGTACTTCCAAAAGTTGAATGATTTTTTCTCCTCCCCCAACTTGGTCCACCCCTAATCACGATATTACCAATGTTTATTAAGGACATGTATACTCTAAACACCAACAATAAATCCCTTGAAATCCGAAACGTGTCAACAGTTAAATTGATAATTTCTCTGAACAGCGGACGTGACGTCCAAGATCGCAGAAATAACTCATGGACCAATCATTGCCAGGTTGCTGTTTTATTAACAAAATGTGCCTTGTTTTCGTAAAAAAATTGCATCACTGCAAGAACCTGTGTTTCGAAATGCGCTGCCTCGTGGTCTCCTAGTATCGTCATAAACTGTTTGGCTTTTTTCTTTGTCATGATTCGTCAAAAACAAAAAATAAAATAAAATAAATATTTTTTTTTCATGCTTTCCGCGTAAGGCTAGGGTTTCGTGTTAATTTTCCTGTGATTAGAAGTGGGAGAGGGGGTGGCAATGTCCCCAAAAATGCATACAAGGCGATGGATTGGTAGAATATATTTTGCGCAACTTTCTTGACCGAAAATGAAGAGTCTTGCAAGTAAGAATTATCTTAGTGCAATGACCGCTCCCCCTAACACCATTTACACACACCCGTTTTCCAATGGTAATTTTCACGCAACCTGTTTGAAGCATAAGTAACTCGACCAAAAGTTGGACTCCTTTTCTGAGTCAGCACTATTTAAAACTGACTGAATCGGAATTCGGAATGTAGATAACGGGTCGCTCAATAAGCTAGGGGTAAGACAAACTTAAAGCAAGGGGCACAAATACATCAACCCACGGCCTGGTCAGTACCTTACGCATGCACACAGCCATATTACCGGGAGAGTGAAAGCCATGGACAGCTGTCTCACACTCATTAGGGCTTATCAGCATGAAATGGCAGTCAGATCCCTGCTGTAAGGTTTGTTCACGGGTCCGTGACTGTATATGGCTGACACTCCTAGGGGAATTGCCAGTCAGATATGTCTGTATGCATGTGTAAAGGTACTGGCGTCACTGGCTTGGTTTCTTGTTTCAACTCGAAATACACAGGGCTTTGATTTGCAAAGGTTCTGCCACATGGCCTATGCACTGGTAAAAAGTTTTGGAAATTTCACGGTGTATAACGCAATCGTCTTTATGGGTACGCCAATTTGTACTTTTTTAAAAAAGAAGCAAACTGGTTTCGCCATTAAAACGATTAAAGGTGCGAACAAAATGCATTCTCGAACAGTTATAATGACTTCTTAAGGTGACTCGACCCAGTTTTTTTTGGGGGGTACCATCCTACTTTGAAGCTCTCTGGTATCCCCACCTTTACTTTTATCGTAAGTCTAACACATAGAATGGGTAACATATAGATCAATCTACAATATAACATAAAATTTTTGGCGATCGGAGTAAATGTCACGTGGTTATAATGCCACGCCCCTTTGAGGTCTGAGTCGAAAATCTGCTGTTGCCGGCATTTTTTGGTGAAAATCTCACGCGTGCAATGACCGCGCTTGGCTGACTTCCGAATATGATAATTTTGGTACAGTGACACAGGCCATCGCGTGATACATAGAGGTTTCACTCACAATTTTTAATCAATTCTCGTGCTTCTTATGCCTTCGCAAAAAAATCAAGAAGTGCTACACACTAAATCTACTTAATATTAAAAAAATATCATTTTTTCATAGGTTTAATGCAAGCCAATAATTAAACCAACTCGTGACGGGAATCCCTTCTATTTTCTTATACTAAATTATCATATCTCGGTGAGCATTCGGAAGTCATCCAAGCGTGGTCATTGCACGCGTGCTGAACAAGAATGCTGTATAATGACAGACTAGAAACAATAGACAACTCCCAAAGCACAAACTCAGCCAAAACGCTAAAAATCTTCAATGTTTACTCAAGTTTGGGCTTATAGAAGATAATGTCAAAGTTTTTCAATGACCATGAAATTCAGAGTCCGGGTTGTTAGTTAATCAATTGTGGCCCTGAAAAAATTTGAAGGAAAAAAAACTACGAATTTTTAAGAAAATGCTTTTTTCGTGAGATTGACTCTTAAACGCTGACAAACGTCAACAAATAGCGAAAACTATAATTTCTATATGTTTGCTTTGCTCGAAATCGCGCGCATTTACAAGGCCCTAAAGCGTTTTGCTGACTTGCAAGGACCCATCTGTTATAACGATGCCCATAATACAGAGATGAATCTCATAGTTTATTAGATATAATCCGTGTAAAGTTTGCTTATCATTTTCGCATAAATTATGACCTAATTTTGGAAACCGCTGAATTTCTCGAATTGGGTCTTTGCGATTTTGGTGAAACTCTGTTCAGCGCAAGGCACTAATGCGCACTATGTGTGGCCGAGAGATTTTCAGGAAAAAATGCTGGCAACAGCAGATTTTCGACTCAGACCTTAAAAGGGCGTGGCATTATAACCACGTGACATTTACTCCGAGCGCCAAAAATTTTATGTTATATTGTAGATTGATCTATATGTTATCCATTCTATGTGTTATACTTACGATAAAAGTAAAGGTGGGGATACCAGAGAGCTTCAAAGTAGGATGGTACCCCCCCAAAAAAAACTGGGTCGAGTCACCTTAAATTAAAGAAAGGCACTTACTAAGCTGAAATTTGTTCATCAGCTGTCTTACTGCCACTTGCTTTTCAGCGGAATCATTTAGTGTGGCAATCTGTATATGTATTAATACAAAAAACTTTAATTAATAGCCTGTTCTAGACCTTATAAAAGTAGTTTAACTGAGCAAAAGGAAACGTAAATACAACAAACGTGTGGGTACTAGGGAGACACTGAGCCCGCGTTTTAGCGCAGACCCTACTAACTGAGAGCCTAGAAAAGGCTACAGGGTAAAAGAAAATTAAGCCATGCAATTTCGAAAGGTCTACGCTAAAATAGCTTATTAATAAGAATTCGAGTTCATGAACTCTTCCTGAGATGTGTTGACTTACTTTTATGACTTTACTTGTGCCTGAGCCCTGTGTTCCTCCAGCCTTAACAACCACAGTCAAATCTGATGCCAAACCAGCGGAAAAGAGACCAAACACGACAAGGCCAACTAAAAACCATATTATGGCGAAGACCTTGGCCTTATTGGATTTTGGCGTTCGGTCTCCATACCTGCAACAAGATCGAAAAAGGTTACCCTAGTCACGTTTTTCTCATAGAGCGGATTTTCAAGATTTTGCTTAATTTAGTACTACCTACGTGTACTGCGGAATTGAAAGCTGGATTACCGGCTTTTGAAAGAGAATACTAGTAAAGGCATTGTAAAAACGAAGGCAGGTCCTGGTGAATAGTTTGGTTGGATACCTTCTCTGATATTAGATGGCTTAGTTTTCGATAGGATGTAGACTTTGATCTTATTCCTGTTGTTTTTGTGGCTTTTCTGGTGTAAACAAAACATTATACGAGTAGCTAACATCAACACCTCATGCAGTAAAGCCTGTTACTTACCCTAGCGTTGTCATGGTGATAAATGCCCACCAAAACCCCTCTCCGGCACCTTTATAAAATATCGGAGGAAATTCCTCTGGATTGGTGGTTACATCCTTCATAGAAAATTTTTACTGTTAGACAATATCACCAAATTTTATTGCTGTTATTTGGATATGCAATTTCTTGGCCTACAGTTAACCAAAAGGCTAGCCCTGGCAGGCCACAATATGTAATTAAAAGAAAACAATTTACAAGATAGAGATACTGGGCAAGCCCACTTGTCCAGAGTTAGGCACCCCAAGATTTTTTTCGTTTTAGTGGTAAAGATAGGCGTGTATTTCATCAATGACGAGACATATCTGTTCTTTCTGTCCTTATGAAACAGTGGTACTGGTTCAGTACTAACAATACCCTTCTGATCAATACTGGATTTCTTTGACCAGATATCTGATGCACTAATCAGTTCTGAATGCTTCTTTCAGCTCCCTTCTTCTTCATCGAAATCGGTTGAAGCTTGTTATTTTATTTCTCAAGCTTTATCATATTTTGGCTTGCATTCATATGAAGGATGAGGCATTTAAGAGATTTACTTAATCCACAAGTTCTTGGACCTTAAAGTGTACATTCAAATTAAAGGCCACTACTGTAACCTTAGTCCTTAATTAATACTCACGTAATACACGCAATTTTTTTTTTATTTTGTATTTAATTTAAGGAGTCAGTAGAAGTTGTAAAGTTATTCTTACCAAAACCCAAATCACCAAACCAGCCAAGATGGTCATGACTCCAGAAATTGCAAATACTGGCCACGAACTGAACACTGATACTGCGATCACTTTCTCCATGCCACCTGGAATAGACTTTCTTTGAACAACAGCTAGACCAGGCACTTCAATCACAGCTACGAACTTGCCTCTTGAAAAGCTCCCGCTAGCTATTACAACCGGATAATTTATATTCACATCTCCTTCTGAATCCGATACCTTAATTAAATTTGTTTGGCCAAAGGCGTGACAAGTTCCACAAACGTCAACAACTAGCTCCTCGATTATTTTAGACAACGAGATGTGATCGTCGTCCAGGGAACTTGGATTTTCGACGACAGTTACGTTTTCGGGGCAGCTACAAGTTTCTGGAAGACACAAAAATATGGTAAGTAGCAGTTATTAGGATTTATACGTTTCTTATAAAATGGGTACAGCACAATCCAACCCTAGTGTACCGCATTTAAGACACAACTAAAATGCACCGTGAAGGATGATAGATATTGTGACGGTTTCAAACACCTTTTGTCTTCCTCTTCTCTAACTTAGGAGCGAAAGGGAGTGTGCCAAATATCGAGCATTCCTTTCATTTATGGGAGTGCCTTTTTTTTCATTATTTTACTATTGTTATTAGTTTGATAAAAAGATCAACAGGAAGAACTTATGACCTGTTTGGAAATATCAAAGAAAAACTGACAGAAGAAATGAATTCAAAGGTAACGCTTTTTTTATTTGTGTTAAAAAAATTACCTCCATAGGCGAATTCGCTAAAGGGACTGAAGCCCTTCCTTGTGCTAGCAGCGACCTTAATTCTGTACTCAGTGTTAATGTCCAGCCCAGTTAGCGTCGTCTGCGTTGAACAAGTCATGACTTCTCGTGTTTGCCAGGTACCATCCTCCAATTGATACTCAAAAATGATCTTATACCCAGTTATCTCACCGTATAAAAGGGGAGGTGGACTCCATGTTACGTTCATGGTGTTGGTACTTGTAAAACTGACAGCTTTGACATCAATTGGAGGCAAAGGTAGAACTAGAGAATGGTAATACAGGGCATCAGTTGGTGAGACAGGCCTAATGCTATTACGCCCAAGAAACAGGCAGATAACGGGATATAAAAATGACTGACTATACTTGAGAGACTTTTCAATTTTTATCATGCAAGTTATTTAAATTAAATGCGTTGTCCATCACAGTGCAGTACTCATACCATCGTTCGAGAGACTTAATTTCCTTTTAAAAAGATACTCTCTTTGAACCATTTAATGCCGAGGCATCACAGTTGGCACAGTACAGGTTAGGAGATTCCTTCCCGCAAATACTATTAACAATTTTAAACGGCTTCCTTTAGGCGAACACAAGATCATCGTATGTCAAATACATTCCTGGGGATAATAGCTGCGTACTTTGACAAAACGTAACAATGCTAAACACTTGGATATCCTGGAAAAACCCAGATTTTCGACAACTAACTACTCTTCTTGTCATTCTTATACACTCTTTTTTGAGTGTTGATAAAACCCTTTTAGAATTTCGGCGAACTTATTAATTTTCATGCTTCCACTTTTGAATTCGAGGTTCGCTTTACTTTAAGGCCAGATGGTTCCCAAATTGACCTTTGGGCCGAAATCTATACAAACCCTCTTTGTTTCGGTAACTAGCTCCTTACCTTCGTCATCAGTCGTTACGTTGAAACAGTCGCTCCAGTTTCCTGGGCCAATTCGAGTTCGTCCAGCCAGACGAATACAGTAAGTAGTGTATACTGATAGACTGGTAATGTCTTTTGATAGCTCAGCAAGCCCAGTATCGATCGTAACAGCTTCTTGATAGACACCACTACTTGTAATTTGGTATAAAGTCATTTTGTAACCTAACAAGTATCCATGGATGAAGCCGGGAGGTATTTGCGTCCAGTTTAAGAAGATGCTTGTTGAACTAGTGTTGAACCCTTCTGTGATATTCGGTGGTAAACTTGGAACTTAAGAATAATGAGAACGGTTCGATAAAAATCAGAAATTTACCCTGTCATCTTTATATTTGCTACAGTTAAAGCGTTTCATGCGTTCAGGCTAAGTAGTAACCATAAAATATAGTCAACCAAACATGCTGTAGAGTGAAGTTAGAAAATTTTTCACACACATTTATCAACTCAACCTCCATCACTTTTTAACATGTGTAACAAATTACGATTACAATACATGTACCTATGGAGCCTCTCCCTCCCCCCAGTATAAATACCAACCAAATTTGAAAGTGTGTGCGAAAAAAGAGAGTTGTCGCTCTGGCGGATTGCGAGAAAGTAAAATTTAATTGGCTAATGTTCGGCTGCTTTTTTTTTTTTTTTTATCAATTTTGTATGTAACAAACCACCATGAGATGAAACTGCATTTCAAGGCCTCAACATTTTCTTTAGATATGAGCAAATTATATCGATAGCATACTTATTCGAATTTACTGTGTTTATGACCCTTAGAAATTTCTTTCAAAATTGAATTTGTTCGAACTTTGCCATAATCAAGGCAACCAGAGTCTTCAAAGATTACAAATTTTAACATCAACCTATTGTTTTAAGTTCAGATGGCATTACATTATTTTGGATCGTTTTTTTCCCATTCTTTTTATCTCCCCTCTCATGTTTGTATTGCTGCCTTGAAGATCACTACAATGTTAATTGTGCGTCGACTTTTTCAATTTAATTAACGTGAAACAAATCTCGCTACAGACTCTTTGACTATTTCAGTGTTATTCTCGCCTCCCTCTTCAGTTTAGTCCCAAACAACAGCTGGTAATTGACGCTAATCTCGGTTTATATTGCACACAGCGGACAGAAAAATATTGCAAGATTGCAATGCAACCGCATATGATTTTGTAAGGGAATTTTGGACACATTCATGTTACAAATCGTATTTTAAATCAGTCTGCGTTTTCGAAAACCAAACTGAAAAACCATATATTATGTATATGCTAATAGGCTAATACACTATTGCTAGACGATGCAATAACAAAGGAATATAGTGCTTACCGTCCTCGTCTGTGCGAACACAGACAATGTCGCTTGAATTCCCGTCTCCTTTGCTATTAAAACCCACAATCTGAATGCAATAGTCCGTAAACTTTTCAAGCCCCTCCAGAGTCCAAGCCAAGATATTTTCCACAAGGACAACATTATCTGTAAACGAAAGACTTCGCCGTTTTCGCCTAGCAGCATTTTCTTTTTTGTAGGCGATTCTATACCCGAGTATAATTCCGTGCTGCAGCTCTTCCTCAATTGGATTCCAAGCTACAAATATGCTTGTAGAGCTGGCATTGTTGGCTGTTAAACTCAAGGGTGGGCCACCAGGAACTAAAAAGGAAATTACAGACATTTTTTGTTTCCAAGACAATTCTATACAAAACGAAGTGAATCCTAGAATCATGTTTCTTCAGACAGACTTAATAAGGGCCTGTTTATATGGAGGTGGGGGACCCCAGATAGGAGAGGTAACATGCAACGTGTCACCCCACCTATCATGTAAATGTGATCAAATTAAAATGAGAGATTATAAGAGGCTCTCAATGAGGTGGTTGATTTTACGGTTATCGGCTTACATATTGGCTCTTTTACGGCTGTCGGTTAATTTATTTCAGTTACGGTTAACAAAAAAGTTAAAAATTAATTTCTTTTGTTTCAAAGAGTTAAATATTAATATTCTTTAATATAATATTCAACAAAATTCCAGGGTCCAGTTATATTTACGATAGCGAAGGACCCTTTGCCTTGTCCCTAGGCCTCATTAATCTGCGCGGCCAATGCGTTTCGGGTCACGTGGTCCGAGCTAGTTTTGTCTCGGATATGTCACCCAAATGCCTTGACCGAGAAGGCCTCGGAGGACACCGTACAGGGGCTAGGCGTGGCAAGGTCTGGCAATGTCTGGACTTGCTACAAGTCGACCTCGGCTCCCATAAGTACTTAAAGGTAATAAAGGACTTGTAGAAAGTGTATATAATGTCTACCGTAGCGAGAAAAGAGAAAAACCGGGAATTGTAGTTTATCGGCAACGTGTTTTACAAACAGTGACATCTCTGCGTTTTGTTTTACTACTATTTCGAGCGCATGACCTCCTGAAAATGGCAAATACTAATCCCCAACAAAAAAAAACAGATTTTCACTGAGGAAAAAATTAGTTATTGCAAACACGTTTCTACGGAAGTTTTATTTTGCCATCATCAACATAAAACTCTCACAAAAAACTTCATACCACGTGGTATCTTAGTGTAGAATTCAATACTGAATTTAAAGGTACTTACTATCCAGCTGGCTTTCAACAACAACAGGGTAGTTTCAGATCTAGCTGCTGCTGGGTCGATAAAGAATAATTTTCTGTTTTGCCGCTGATTTTGGCGAGGCTTTACAGTTTTTAGACCAAACTTCCTGGCTTGCTCGTTTAGATCAAGAAAACAATAACGTTTTTCTTGAATGTTGAAAGTGTCCAATGCTCCTAGTGTCTCGCGTTGCGGGAGGGTGTTTCGATTGGCATTTTTCCACCCGTTGGAAAAATACTAACAACAGCTTTCAATACTGACATCGATTAACTCATATGTTGGTCTCTTTCGCAGCCGTTCTTACGAGCCTAAAGACGACTGCAAAAGAGACTACTCATGTGTACGCCGGATGGCGAAATTGGAGATCTAAAAAGAAGGAGCCGTCAACTCGTCGCACAAAACACAGGCCAAGTGAGGTCAAGTAAGACTCCTGTGGATCCTGAAAAGGCGCTTCGCCTAACGTGCGTAAGGCGTTAAGGAAGCCGCGAAGTCAGAGAAGAGACGCAACCGGTCATAAGTGAGTTTAACACAAATCTAAGAAACAATTTCTTTTACGGTTAACTTTTTTACCCTATGGGTAAAATTTTTCCATTTTTACGGCTATCGACTAAATTTTTGGCCGTTTTACGCCTATCGGTTAACCCCATTGAGATCCTGTCGTAAGGACTGGCGGGCTACCCCACCAAAGGGGGTTAACTCACCTACTTGGGGTCCCCCACCTCCATGTAAACCATTTTTAATTATCCATTCTTATACTAGACAGATACTACTCTATATTAATCTTTAACGGTTAAGAAATACTCAATTCAATTTTTTTCACCAATAAACATGAAAAAGACTGCCTGTATCTGAACATGTCGTACATATACATAGGCCTGTAAACATAAGGGGATCGCAAACAAAACACGGACGAATACAGATGTTATTATTACCTTCTTCGTCCGTGAACACGCATTTGAAATTATCCACTTTCGTGTCAATTTTGTCATTGTTGAAAGACACCACGCTTGAACAGTAGTTTGTGAATACCATTAGATCGGTAAATAGATAACTGGAACTGTTGCAGACTAGTATACTTTTAACTTCCGTATCTCCCGCTCTTCGAAAATCTATTTTAAATCCTCTCTTTTCATCGCCGTATGTAAGAAAAGCTGGTAAAGTTGTGTTCCACTCCACCTCGAGAGACGTTGAGCTCTGGTTCAATGCGGTAAACTCCACTCTTACTATAGAAAGATAAAAGATTGGAGAAACAAATGGAATTCTGAAACGGTATTTGAATATTTTCAGTCATTCATTTCTTTACTTCCTAATCCCTAAGGCCCTAATTCAAAATCATCCTGCAATTCCTCTTTTTAGCAGGGCAACCTACGAAGGTCTCCTTCTAAACACTTTTTAGGCTATCCAGAGTACGTGTAGGTCTCCAGAAATGCATTCTAAGTGCCGCTATAAGATTTGCATCTGTTCGGTCATCTTAGGAAAATTTGAGTTTTTTCGGAATTCCAAGAAGGGCTTCAGTATTATTTTCTCGAAAATTTTAGAGGCAATTTAACGTATAACGAAAGTGAGAATTTTTCTGATTTCTCTGTTTATTGTATTTTTGATTTAGGTTTCCTTTTGTCTACGAGAAATATCCTAACCTAGGGAGCGAAATGTGAAAAATTAAAGTTCAGAAAATCGTTGGGAATTTATTAGATAAGCTTCGAAAATTGTGCATGAATGAAACGTCAACTAATAGAAAATTCTAGGTAATATTTGCTTCTCTGGACAGATATTTTACAGAAAACAGTCTTTGTTGCCCCTGTTTTATGACTGAACTGAAAAAAAATGCTTTAGTGCTTTGGGCCAATTTAGAATTTCAGTGCGTATTATACATGTCTTTTACATAAATTTACAACCAATCATGGGAGGGACCAAGTGGCAACAATGAGGTTTAAATAGTGGACGGTGTGTTAGAGCCGAATTATTTTTTCATTTGAATTGGGACTTACACAACACATGACATGTCAAAGATCAGGTAAGCTTTTATTCACCATTTTGACATGGACTAAAATGTACCTTGTTTACCCCCCCCCCCATTTTGCATAACCATTATTGTTTCCAATTTCTCCTGTGTATTACAGTCGTCCTAAGAGAAATCGAAGAAAATGGATGTGCAAAATATGAGGGGGTAAATAAGGTGCATTACGGCCTATATGGAAATGGTGAATAACCGAATCCTAGCTGACGTCATTGTTTTGCTTATTAGCATACGTAGAGCTAAACCATAGAACACCTCGCCGTAAATACAAATTATTGAGAGAGCGCTGGTTAATTTGAGCAGTTTGTGCAGGTTTCAGCTCTTTTCAACCAATAACAAAGCAAATAGCAGCAATCAAAAACTGCGAAATTGCTCGTGGCAAAAACGATAATAAGCTCACACATTCTTTGTAAAAATTGGGATTTTTCAAAAATAAGTCAGTCTCCGCAACTATTCGGTATATGGGGCTCATCAGATAATGACAAGCATATGTTTCATGAGGCCAAAAATTTAATCAAGGATTTGACTTTTCAAACGTGGCTTTAACTCATAAACGCTTGAAAACATAATACATGTAGTTGGAAAAATGACAAACATTTCAATGAATGCATGCTTTTTGAGCATGCTAAGAGACAAAATTCCTCAAAATATTCTTTGTCCAAAATTGGTTTCTGTTTCTCCTTTCAAAGGCATTAAAGAGACAAATGGCCTGCTAAGGCCAGAAAACTGAAACTTTTATTTGTACTATAGTCACATTAAATTTTTAATTCAATTCAATCTTTTTTTTTTTGTGGTCACTGAATTGAAGTCACGGGGGTATACTGAATTCGAATGACTGTGAAATTTAGTTGTAACTTCACGCCGGAATTTTGTTTTTGTTCCAAGTCAATTTGATTATATCGCACACGCAACGTCCTCTTCTTTATGGTTTCGCTATTTGTCTTTTTTCGTCATAAAAGCTGCTCAGACCTATATTTGCGGCTTGCCACCACAGGCAGCCCAAGAAGCATGCTTTCTTATTAAAAAACTGCCCAGGATCGGGAAAATGTTTTGAAGAAATTATATGTGGAAATGCTTTTGAGTTTGAAAATGTTTTGAATGCAGAATAATAAAACGAAAATTGACTACGGCCTCCCTATGATATTAAACACATCTCCGGGAAGCTTAATTTTCATCCGCTGAAGGCTGCGGCTACTATCGTCATTTTTCTTTCTCAGTTGCACTAATTTCAACCATGGAGAGTAAATCAACCAATCAATCAATGAATCAATCAATCAGTCAATCAATATCAATCAAAGAAACGAACCTTTCTCTCCAGTGAATACTGGCAAACACGAACTGCTGTTCGATTTTCCATATTCATTAAATGTTGTCACATAAACACAGTACGCTACTTTTTCTTCTAGGTCTGTAATATCAATTCCTCCTGTCTGGCAGCTGGAGTATACCAATCGTACCACCGCACCTGGGTCCCCAAAGTTTGTCACTTTTACAATGTAGCCGCTCATTGGTCCATCAAAGAATTCGAGGGGTGGTTCCCACTTAATACGTATGTAGTTGTAACTTGTGTTAAATGCTTCGAGGTATTGGGGAGGTCCTGGAGGTCCTGTATGGAAAGGAAAGAATTTAAAAGTAGTATTCAACACCAGCATTATAAAAAATCACATATGACTCCTTCCTTGGGGACCACTAGGCCGGGCGGTTTTAGGAATGTTTTTAATAGGAGGGTCGATTGAGCAAGTTACATGATTGCACTAAATTTGAAGTCGATTAAAGTACGGTAATTAGATTTTCTAAAGAAAACAATTTTAAAGATAAGCCAAACTTGCCCGCTCGGGTAGCCAATCAAAACATAGGACTCGCTTCATCTTACTAGCCTTGAGGGACCACCATATCATTAACATTGTATGACATCTAAGGAAAATCATGTGAGCTTACGCATATGGATTAAATAACGTTAAAACAATTTATACTAAAAGCGAGTTCGAGTACAAGCAAAAATCATTAGGCTGGTTGGAAAAAAGAATCCGCTGTAAATTTTAAAATCTTCAGAAAGAGTAACCAAACGATTTAAGGACCAAAAGCTGAAACATGTCAAAATGATCTTTAGTTTAAAAGCTTCGGATGCGCATATAGTATGAGTGACAACAATTGTGGGCACTGTCGCCATTTGAGAGGGAGATAGTGGAAAAATTTACAAGGAGAACTGGAGGGCCTGGCAGCTCTTACTTTTACCAACTATTCTCCAAAATTATCACAAACTGGGTATTTGCTAGTAAGAAGCATGGACTTCAAATGCCTCTGTAAGTGTCCTGGCCTCTAGCTGCATGGGTCATGGTATCCGTAATGAAACTTGAACAAGTCTTAAGCAAAAGAAAAAATGGTAGTTTATCTTATGTCTCCTTGATTAATTTCACTTTTTCGAATATTATATCAAGTACCTGGTAATTTCCCGTAAATCTCTACCCTCATTGTTGCCACAATAAAGGCCAGAATCGTAAAGCTTTATCCATAATCGCGTCTTGTAGAGTAAACTTTTTAACATTTTTTATGTGAAAATTTTCGAAATGAAATCTCTCAACATGACTGGTCGTTCAGTGAATCAGAAGATCCAAATTTGGTATGGTCTAACTGGAAAACAAAATATTTAGGCGCTGTTAACTCACATGCTCCTTTTCGAACTAGACGTGCTAAATTGAACAAAACACCCTGGATTAATTCAGCCTTGAAGAAAGGTATGCGCTGTCGAGATGCTGCTAAAAGGAAAGCGATAAAAACAAAGAATCCTCAAGACTGAGGCAATTACGTAAAGCTCCGAAATCGAATCAACAATAAAGTGAAAACCACTAAGGCATCCTGTTATCAAAATAGTTTTATTCAATCCGAAGGAAATGCTCGAAGGACTTGGAAAACTATTAACAACCTCATGTCTTGTCGTCAGAACAACCAGATAGTAAAGGATGTGAAAGTAATGACATCTTTATCTGTAACTCTAACGAGATTTCCAACGCCTTTAACGAACACTTTTTAACTATTGGGCCCAGACTAGCGCGCGAAGTACCATTAACTTCGGACGAGGAGTCTATTTATTTAAAAAATATAACTGAAAATTACAATAAATTCTGTTTTCGTCTAACTACTACCAGTGATGTCTTTACCCATCTAAATAGATTGTCAAAAACTAAACCTCTCTGCTTGAGGTTGATTCGTGAGTGTGCTGATATTATTTCGGGCAGGTTATGCGATCTGTTTAATAAATCTCTGATCTCTGGCATATTTGCTGACGACTGGAAATGTGCCCGAGTGACTCCGTTATTTAAACAGGGCGAGTCATTTGATTTAAACAACTACCGACCTATCTCAGTCATTTCCTTAGTCGCCAAAGTGTTCGAGAGGATTGTGTACGATCAGTTATACAACTTTTTAAATAGTCAAGAAATCATCTCTAAACAACAATCTGGTTTCCGGTGTCAAACACTCAACTGTTACTGTACTTCCAGAAGCCACTGACAGATAATTGGGCGTTTAATATCGATCGTGGCTACGTCAATGCCGTAGTGTTTCTCGACTTAAAAAGGCATTTGACACTGTTGATCATGAGATATTACTAACTAAAATGAATCGGTGTGGAATTCAAGGTAAAACTCCTGATTGGTTTAAATCGTATTTGACGGATCGTACAAAACGGTGCTCAGTTAACGGTTGTCTCTCTTACTTCACCAACATAAGCTTTATTTGCATGACTATAATTATGTAGTTACAGTATTGCAAAAGCTTTAACATAAAAAAAAAAAGACAAACAAACAAATCATAACAATGATAATGCAATGCAATGATTACTATAGTCAATCAAGTGTCATCAGCATGATTTGATAACAAATTATTACGTAAATCATTACTTAATGAGATAAATTTTAATAAATGTGAATTTACGGAAAAATTCTGTGAATTCATCAATTTAATCATTAATTTTGTGTAAGATAGCTGATTAAAGTCGACAAAATTTTGTTGGATTTGATTGTAGAATTTCTCCCTTGGGATTGAGTATTTTGGACAATGGAAGAGAAAATGAAATTCGTCTTCAATTATACCAGAGTTACAGATAGGACAGAATCTATCGTTGCGGGAAGTTTGATTATATCTTCCAGTTTCAATCATGAGTTTGTGGTTACTTATACGAATTTTAACTAAATCTTTCCTATTAGCAGAATTTCTAATTAAGTCTAGATAACTTGAAATTTTATAATCATGTTTAAATAAGCTGTAAAATTGTAGTTTCTTAGAATGATGGATTGTATGTTGCCAATATGCAATATATTTTTGTTTTATTATATCTATATAGTGTTTGATCTTAGCTTCACTTAAATCATTAGGATCAAAATCAGGGAGGTCATAATATTCAGATATTTTCATAAGATTATGGTAAAAGCTATTTTTACCATTACAGTGAAGTTCTAGCGAAGTACGAAAGGCTTGTTTGACAATAGTATCCTCGTTTTTACGCAGAAGATACAATATGTAATAAAGGATGTTTTTATAAATATTAATAATTAATGGAAACCGTCCTAATTCACTTCTACTTGCAACATTTGAAACTTTATTGCTTATTTCTAGGTAACGCTTGCAAAATTTCAAGTGGGTTTTTTCAGTTGGGGTATTGTCCCAAGCTTTAAAATCATGTTTTACATATACACCCCAAATTTCACTATTATATGATAATATTGGGGAAATCATCGTTTCAAGTATTTTGCAAGCAAGAGAAGGTTTTAATTTGCTAAAGTTTGTGTGTTTTCTTAAACTAAAAAGAGCATGAAGAGCCTTCTCTTTCAAGTGTTCGAGTGAGATATTAAAATTACCGGTTGAGGAGATACGGCTTCCTAAATATGTACATTCATGGACAATATCAATGGTTTCTTTACCTATATGGAATTCTAGATTGGAGTTTTTCCTCGCTCGTTTTTGAAAGACCATAACTTTGGTCTTTTTGGAATTTATATCTAACATCCAAGAGTTGCAAAAAGAGGGTAATGTGTTGAGACAGTTCTGTAATCCTATTTTAGAGCGTGAAATAATAATTAAATCATAAGCATATAAAAGCGAATTTAATTTGGTACCATTTGGAAGGACGATAGGGTCTGATAAAGTATTTTGAAGTGCGGACGGTAAGTCATTAACGTATAAATTGAAAAGTAAGGGGCTTAAAAAACAGCCCTGGCGTACGCCTCGTGAATAGCTAAAAGATTTTGTTTGACTCGTACCTATTTTCAATGCACACGAAGAGTTTGAATATAGGTTTTGGATTAACTTATAGAAACATCCCCCAACACCAATTTGTAATAATTTATATAAAAGTCCGTCATGCCAGACTGAGTCAAAGGCTTTTCTAAAGTCAACAAAACAAGCGTATACTTTCTCACCGTGACAGTGTACGTACTTGTCTATAAGAGTTCGTAATGTTAGGAGGTGGTCTGATGTTCGATTTTTAGGTAAGAAGCCGATTTGAGACTTGTGGAGTATGTTCAGCGAAGTGACGTGTTCAAGAAGTCTTTGGTTTAAAATTGAAAAGAACAACTTTTCTACACAACTAGAAACACAAATCCCGCGGTAATTTTATGGGTCATTTCTTACGCCACATTTAAATGTGGTGTGCCACAGGGAACGATCCTTGTCCCTCTTTTATTTCTAATTTATATTAACGATTTGCCTAACTGTCTGTCGCTCAGCATACCTAGAATCTATGTTGATGACAACCACATTACTTATGCCGGTTCTGATTTGCATTTGATTCAGTCTAGTCTATCTCACGACCTTGAAAAGCTAAGCAAATGGCTTGTGTCTAACAGACTTACCCTGAACGCTACAAAAACTGAATTTATAATGATCGGCTCCGGCAAAGATTAAGTACTGTATCTGATACACTCGAACAATCTATTGATAATGTTCCGATTGAACAAGTTTCCTCTGTGAAATCACTTGGAATATATATCGATGAAAACTTAACGTGGCATTCCCACATTGATAAACTGTGAAAACAGATCGCTTCTGCATTGGAGCCATAAAGCGAGTTAAGCCATTTGTGCCTCAATCCGCCCTACTCAATATATACAACTCACTAGTTCAATCTCACTTTGATTACTGCAGCCTAGTATGGGGTAATTGTGGCAAAACATTATCTAACAAGCTACAAAAACTACAAAACCATTCTGCACGAGTAATAACTTCATCAAACTTTGACGTACATGTCGATTCCTTGTTTCACAAACTCAGCTGGAAAGACTTGAAATCTCAACGTCAAATTCAGAACGCCTTACTGGTTTTCAAGTCTTTAAACGGGCTGGTTCCCGCATATCTCACGTCTAAATTTATAAAGCGAAATGAATCAAACCATTCTTTGAGGAACTCCGTAAACAAACTTGTTGTCCCCTTTCCAAGAACTAACTACATGAAAAATAGTTTTAGTTACAGCGACGCAAAGCTTTGGAACAGCTTACCCTATAACATTAGAGAGTCTGGTTCATTAAATCAATTTAAACACCTTCACTATCATAATTTTTAAACACGGCATTCATGGAAATCAGGTTCTTTTAAGTGGCATATTGTTGTAAGTTAATATAATGTTAGGATTTGGATTTTTAGGTTTTAGGATGTTAGTCATTGTATTAAAATTTATTGTAATGATTAAAGATTAAAGATTAAACGGAAAAATGTTAAGGGAGAATCTTTTAAACGAGTTAAGCTTAGACTTTGGCCGGTCTAACAGACAATGACGGAGCTCAAAAATTATTGTAATGTAGCGGCCGGAATGTCTCACCTGTGCCCTCCGAGGGAGGTTTGTTGAGAAACGGCGCCTGTTGTTATTCTCAAGAGCAACACTTTGTATTCTTGAATTTATACTAAAAGCGAGTTCGAGTACAAGCAAAAATCATTAGGCTGGTTGGAAAAAAGAATCCGCTGTAAATTTTAAAATCTTCAGAAAGAGTAACCAAACGATTTAAGGACCAAAAGCTGAAACATGTCAAAATGATCTTTAGTTTAAAAGCTTCGGATGCGCATATAGTATGAGTGACAACAATTGTGGGCACTGTCGCCATTTGAGAGGGAGATAGTGGAAAAATTTACAAGGAGAACTGGAGGGCCTGGCAGCTCTTACTTTTACCAACTATTCTCCAAAATTATCACAAACTGGGTATTTGCTAGTAAGAAGCATGGACTTCAAATGCCTCTGTAAGTGTCCTGGCCTCTAGCTGCATGGGTCATGGTATCCGTAATGAAACTTGAACAAGTCTTAAGCAAAAGAAAAAATGGTAGTTTATCTTATGTCTCCTTGATTAATTTCACTTTTTCGAATATTATATCAAGTACCTGGTAATTTCCCGTAAATCTCTACCCTCATTGTTGCCACAATAAAGGCCAGAATCGTAAAGCTTTATCCATAATCGCGTCTTGTAGAGTAAACTTTTTAACATTTTTTATGTGAAAATTTTCGAAATGAAATCTCTCAACATGACTGGTCGTTCAGTGAATCAGAAGATCCAAATTTGGTATGGTCTAACTGGAAAACAAAATATTTAGGCGCTGTTAACTCACATGCTCCTTTTCGAACTAGACGTGCTAAATTGAACAAAACACCCTGGATTAATTCAGCCTTGAAGAAAGGTATGCGCTGTCGAGATGCTGCTAAAAGGAAAGCGATAAAAACAAAGAATCCTCAAGACTGAGGCAATTACGTAAAGCTCCGAAATCGAATCAACAATAAAGTGAAAACCACTAAGGCATCCTGTTATCAAAATAGTTTTATTCAATCCGAAGGAAATGCTCGAAGGACTTGGAAAACTATTAACAACCTCATGTCTTGTCGTCAGAACAACCAGATAGTAAAGGATGTGAAAGTAATGACATCTTTATCTGTAACTCTAACGAGATTTCCAACGCCTTTAACGAACACTTTTTAACTATTGGGCCCAGACTAGCGCGCGAAGTACCATTAACTTCGGACGAGGAGTCTATTTATTTAAAAAATATAACTGAAAATTACAATAAATTCTGTTTTCGTCTAACTACTACCAGTGATGTCTTTACCCATCTAAATAGATTGTCAAAAACTAAACCTCTCTGCTTGAGGTTGATTCGTGAGTGTGCTGATATTATTT